GGTGACTTTACTGTCTTTCCCCATAATCAAGGGAGGCAAGGTCTCTGCTGTGAACGGTTTGTTCCCAGAAATATTCCCCCAGTACAAGGTTTCATTTGTTTAAATAACACTGTTTATACAAAGGACACATCAAAGTTAAATTATTTTAAAGAGAATAATGCCAAAATATCTGGTTGCATACTGAAGGGTCACTTTAAATGCATTTGAGTATTTTGATTTTTTTCAAAAACTTTAGCTTTTAGACATGATTTTCCAAGACATATCCTCCAAGCAGGTCTGGAAAATGAGCAAGTGTTTGACCTATTTTTTAAAAATGATGCTCCTCTTTTGTGGTTTGCAAGTATTTTACTATCAAAGTTACTACCCATGAGGGCTGTTTGTATAGCTGACATTTTGCCAAGCCCTTTATAGGATGCAGAAGAAAGTGATATGCCATTAAGTTTTAATTTAGGGAACTAATCCAAACCCTAATCCCCTACATTCCCCTCAGCTCCATGAATTCTTGGAAGATAGAGGCAGCTTTGGGTTGGCCAGAGCCCAGGGTTCGAGGCCTCTGAAAAATTTCTAAGAACAGGCACAGTGAAGCGAAGAGCTCCTCGTGCCCCCAAAGTGCCTCGTGTTGATAAATTAAGGCGCCTCTCCATAAGGGAATTCAGTCAGCATCAAGAGGCCTGGAATGAGGAATCTAGTTGGAAGAGACAGGCCTATTTGTTCTGTGGTTTGGAAAATCTAATGTGGGTCAGCGGGCGATGTCGGCCACCCACCCGACCCGTCTTAGAAAATAGAATGTTACCCTTTTCTGGTTTCCAAAATTCATACCCATGTAAAACTTGCAAACTAAATATTTATTTATTTATTTATTTATGCTTTATTTTTTAAGGAGAAGAAAGGAAAAAAGGAAGAAAAAAAACCAAAAAACAAAAAAACCTCTGGGCTCAATGAGAATCATTTGGAGCCTAAAACTGGGGTTTCAATAAATATTTCCACATTACCCAGCAGGCATAAGGGAGATTTTTCCCACCAGAAGGAAAAGTTCGTACCAGCTATATCCTTCGGTTTTACATCAAGCATTTATTGACTGCTTCCCAGGTTCCTGGAAGCCTTTTGATTCAGGATTAATAATCCGTTTACCCCCTCATCCTAAAGCATAAGCGGCTGGTGCATTCTCTCTGCTATACTCTTCACCTTGAAAAGCCAACTGGAATTTTAAATAAAGGAACTAAACGTTCTCATAACAAAGTATAAGTATGTTGCAAACATCATTTAGGGCTGCTTATACGAAAAATGTATTTGCATTTTATGTGAATTCAAATTTAGCAGGGTGCTCTGTATTTTACCTACAAGCAAAACCAATGGACAGAGCCATGTAGTCAAAATGTCATAAAAAAAGGTGGGAAAATGACTTTTGGGGAACTTTGAAAGGGTCAGGCAATAAATAAGAACAAATACTGATTCAAATTGTTATTATAACTCCGGTAATATAAAAGTATGTAATTTATCATTGCATAAATTAATGAGTCCCTAAACCAATATAAGTTGAACTTTTATAACTCAAATGTTTTCCTATGTGTTTCTGTTAAGAGTTTAGTAATGTTTCATCCTGATTTCTGATTAATCTTCAGTTCTTAATCGATTTTGACTTTCTATGTCCCCAGGTTCTTAAGTTACTGATCTATTCAAGAATCCTTGAATAGAGTTGGGGGGGGGGTCCCTTCATGGGAGTCCTTTTGTCACACAAAGGGTCTTTTGGGGGAACATGAAGACGTTTGCGGAACTTTGATTAATCACCTCTAAAATACCAACTTTAGAAGTTCAGATTTCTATACAAGTACGGTTTTTTGAAACTGAGCACATCTAATTTCCTCTTCAGAGCTTATTATTGGAAAAAATCACAAAGAGCATAAGGAGCTCATTCTTCAAGCCATTCATTTCTTTATACAGAGTGATTTAAAGGTTTTTGTATCTTTTTTAAAGATTTTATTTATTTATTTGACAGAGAGAGATCACAAGTAGACAGAGAGGCAGGCAGAGAAAGAGAGAGAGGGAAGCAGGCTCCCTGCTGACCAGAGAGCCCGATGCGGGACTTGATCGCAGGACCCTGAGATCATGACCTGAGCTGAAGGCAGCGGCTTAACCCACTGAGCCACCCAGGCGCCCCAAGGTTTTTGTATTTTAAGAAGAAAACTTCTTAAAGAAGTTCCGTTAGAAAGTGGCTCCGAGGAAATGATGAATCAGAGCTCCTCCCACACCAGTCCTCCCAGAGGGAGCCCCTTACAAGCCCTATGGGGAGTCAGACCTTGAGAGACTTGCCTGCTGCTGGAAGCAGGCCAGGTAGATATTTCACTCTCGGGTGGAAAGTGACGGTGTCACTCAGGGCATGGCTGCTTCCCATGTGACGTCATGGGCTGTTTACCTGGGAGCTGTTTATTTCGTGATGGTATGGTTCTTAACCGAAGTCTAAGCGTCCCCTTGAAAAATTAAGGACTCCTTCTTCTCCCCTTATGAAGTGCCCTATTTCATTCAAAATTTATGGTGGGCTTCCAGGGACAAGATCCTATTTTAAGTGCTTGGGATCCATGGGGGAACAAGCCAAGCAAAGGTCTCTCCCTCCTGGAGTTGACTTTCTATCAGAAAAGACAGACAACAAATAAAAAACTTAAGAAATCAGTTCTATAATGCGCTGAAAGATAGTATTATGGTAGAGGGTGGGGAAGCAAGGCAGGGGGTCTGGATTTGGGCTTGGGGACACATTGTATTTTAAACATGGAGGTCAGGGCTGGACTTGGTGGTGGTGACATTTGAGCAAAGACCTGAAGGGTTGTGGGACTGAGCCACTGGGTGCTGTGCAGGAACAGTGTTACATGCAGAGAAGGAACAGAGAGCACAATGGCCCCGAGCTCCTGCTTGTGTCTGATCTGTGATACTAAACCCAGGGTGCTTTTGCCCCCAGGGACATTTGGCAATGTCTAGGAAAGGTGGGGGGATATCACTGGCATCTCCTGGCTAGAGGCCGGGAATGACGCTCACCAACCTGCAATGTGGGGAACAGCCTCCCACGGCAAAGAAAGATCCTGCCCAAAATGTCAGTGGGGCTAATGTTGAGAAACCCTATGTGTGAGAAGTGGTGAGGAGGCCTGGAAAACTGGAGGAGAGGCAGTAAGGGAAAAGAGAAGTAGAAGAGATCAGAGGTGACAAAGGCTGGAGGAGAAGGAATGGCTAGGCCAGCGAGGGCCTTAGGCCAGCATGGACTTTGATTGTTACTCCAAGAGAAATGGGGAGCCATTGGAGGGTCTGGAGCAGAGCGGACATGACCCACATTAACAGCTCTGGCTGCTGAGTGGAAAATAGGTTGAAGGAGGGTAAGGCTGGAAAGAGGGAGCTGAAGGCGGCTGCGGTAATTCCTACAGAGACAATGGGCCCAGACCAGGGTGGGAGCAGCTTCGTGACTTCCAGCCAGCAGGACTTTCCAAAGCCAAATCCCAGATATCAGACAATGAGGCATTCTGGGGGTTCCACACAATCTACACTCTTTTCATTACTATGTATCCTAGATTATATGTTCTACATAATCTAGATAGATCAGTGTTCATCAATAGACTTCATAATCTAGATAGATCAGTGTTCATCAATAGACTTATCAATTGATCGATCAAGCAATTGGTATAGTTAAATTGCCTTAGCTGGATTTTGTTTTACATACAGGATTCCTGATATGTGTTTTAACAATCAGTCCATGACAGGGGCCCCTGGGTGGCTCAGTCCATTGAGTGTCTGCCTTTGGCTCAGGTTGTGATCCCAAGGCCCTGGGATCAAGCCCCGCATAGGGCTCGTTACTTAGTAGGGAGCCTGCTTCTCCCTCTCCCTCTGTCTGCTGCGCCCCCCACTTGTGCTCTCTCTTTCTCTGCCAAGTAAATAAATAAATAAACTTTTAAAAAAAAAATCCATGACAAAACAATTCGGCAGGAGTCAGGCACAAAGTAATCTTTCTCTGCTTTACCGTGGTCTCAACAAAATACGTTCACTCTTGCCAATGACTACTTCGAGGTGTCTTTTTCTGAGCCACAGATAACCCTAAACATGCTAAGTTACCTGAAATGGGGATGAGGGGAGCATAAGAGTTCTAGGCCCTAATAATGAGGGGTTTAAACGGCTTTCTTCTTTTAGAAATGCATTAAATTGTTCAAACAGTTCCTCACCTCTTACTTGATCAGCCAAAGTAGATGCTGCAACAGAGCAGAAAACTCCAAGAGACTGGGAATCCTTGCTCTAACCCCAAGTTCTCAAACTTCTGAAAAGAGCTGCCTCCTCATTCCATCCGAGAGCCCCTACTCCAGTTCCGATTCTCAGCCAAGAAAAATGGCCTTCAAGGAGCCACCTGCTCACAGCAACTGCAACACAGACTGGTTAAAAATGGCAGATGTTGGGAGGCCTGGGTGGCTGAGTCATTAAGCATCTGCCTTCGGCTCAGGTCATGATCCCAGCATATTGGGATCGAGCCCTGCATCGAGCTCCTTGCTCCACAGGGTGCCTGCTTCCCCCTCTCCCTCTGTCTCCAGCTCAGCCTATTCGTGTTCTATCTATCAAATGGATAAATAACAATCTTAAAAAAAAAAAGAAAATTAAAAAAAAAAAAAAAAAAAACAACGGATGTTATTCAAACGGAAGATGCGCTTCTGAGGACTTGTTTTCTGCAAGGAAGTGTGTCTGCCCCTGCATGCTAGTCTCCTCATTCATCCATTCATCCATTCATCCCTTCATTTATTTTAGTTTCCTCTTTTAACTGGATACTTTCCCTTCTGAGGGTGCATTTTCACCTCTGCTCCTGGTAGGGGTCGGGGGGGGAAGGTTTCACTGGTCACTTAGTCTGACCAGCTGCTGGTTCCACTGGGGGTCCCTGCTAGGCTAACTTTGGAGGCACTTTCCCGGAGAAGCCCACTTGAAACGAGCTTTGTCATCTCCTCGTCGTCTCACGTGACCTTTTCTGTTTTCTCGCTGAACAGCAAACATGCCAGAGGATTATTCTGATCAGTTTGACGACGTCATGGATTTTATTCAGGCCACCATCCGAAGGCTGAAGAGATCGCCCGAGAAGCAAATGGCCGTGCCACCCCGGAGAGAGCGGAATCGTCAGGCGGCGGCCGGCAGCCCGGAAGGTTCCAGGGGGAAAGGGCGGCGAGGTCAGCGGGGCAGAAACCGGGGCTGTGTCTTGACTGCGATACATTTAAACGTCACTGACCTGGGTTTGGGCTACGAAACCAAGGAGGAACTGATTTTTCGGTACTGCAGCGGTTCCTGCGATGCGGCCGAGACAATGTACGACAAAATATTAAAGAACTTATCCAAAAATAGGAGGCTGGTGAGTGACAAAGTCGGGCAGGCTTGCTGCAGACCCATCGCCTACGATGATGACCTGTCGTTTCTAGATGACAACCTGGTTTACCATATTCTAAGAAAGCATTCCGCTAAAAGGTGTGGGTGTGTCTGACTCCGGCTCCAGAGACTGCTGTGTATTGCATTCCTGCTACAGTGCAAAGAAAGGGACCAAGGTTCCCAGGAAATGTTAGCCCCGAATGGAAGATGAGGACCAAGGAGGCGGAGGTGGAGGACGGAGGAGGAGGAGGAGGAGGAAGGCAGCCGTTGGGGGAGCCTGGTAGAGGGAGATTCAGCTACAGAGAACTGGACGGGAGAGGAAACAGCCATCTGGACTCTCCCTGCTGGCAGCCGATGTCGCCGGGAGCCGATGTCACCAGCAGCTCAGGGCTGGGGTCCCTGGTTGGGTGTTTCCCATCATCGGACACAGCCCGCCACAGCCGGCCCCGGGCGCAGTTGCGGATGCACTTGAAACCAGACCAGTGTATCTCCTGTGGTTTATTTTCACACATCTGGAGACACCTGGGAAACGGTCATCCTGGTGTCGTTCCTTGTCACGACGTTTTACTGCTGAAAGCAAGAAAGGCTTATTTTTCTGTCACTCAGCGGAAACATACCCCGGAGAGGAGGAAGAAAAAACAACACAACACAACACAACACCAAAAGCAAAGACACAAGAGATCATTACCTTTGAATTTGAAAGTCGAAGCCTGAGGTTTCCTAAAGCCAGCATGGTTTGCCAACGGTCGGTCAGTGATGGATTTGGAACCTGGTGTGTGGGGCAGGAAGCAGTTGGCTAGGAACCAAAAAGGCTGTCCTCATGACTAAAAACAAACCCGAAGGTATTTCCTTGATGACCTTGGAAACAGGAAACCAGTTGTGGTTTTGGGCAGCATTCTTGCAGGAGAGCAAGTGGGGAAGGCCCCCAGCCGCCCTGGGGCAGGGGGACCCGCTGGGCCTGCCGGTTTACAAAGAGACAGAGGTTACATACCCCCCCAGCTCCGTTTAAGCATGGTCACCAGTGACCAGAGAAGCTACTCGATGCAATGCATCTGTTTCAGATACAGAAATATAGAGAAGATATTTATTGAGATTTAAGTTATTGTTATTTATTACCGTTCACTAATGAGTTGCTCTTTTCTCCCCTTATTTATTAAAGTTTCTTTTCAAGGTGCCAAAGTATATGTGGTCGCAAAATGCAAAGAAAAGTGACAAAGGAAATTTTGATTGGGAACAAGGGTCCATGCTTTTGAAAGTATTAAAAAGTTTCTCAGTAGGCAAAAATCACTTACTTTACCTTTTTTAGAAAAGCCCTCCCTCATCTCCCCCCCCCCCATTTCAGCCTCTTCCCTATTTTTATTTTTGAGAAAAGGAATGCGTCAGAAGGAGCGCTTCTGACAGGCCCCCTCTCGGGAGCCGTGTGCAAAGACCCGTGGGCTCTGGTTTTACGTCCTCGCTATTCTATCGCTGAGCAGGTCTGCCACACGCTCCCCTTGCTGTTGTATGTAAGCCCTTACTCCCTTCCACATGTATCTATCTATGACATGCATAACCATGTATATGAAAGATTAAATCCCTTTTAGTAAGTAGTCCTGGAGTCAGTGTTGACCTAAAAGTAAGATACAAATCCTGTCAGCTGGCCATGGTCTGTCCCGACTCTTCCTCTGTCCTTCCATCCACCACTGTCTTCTAGAGAAACGTGCTCACGCCCAGCGCAGCCAGGGAGCACGTGGCCCACCTTCCAGAAACGGGATCTATCCGGGTGCCGTAAAAGCCCCTTGGCTGTCCCCTGGGGGCAACAGTCGCTGTCCCTGTCAGAAGGAGGTGGCCCAGAAGGGAGGATATCTGGCCCAGCTGTATACACCACCGAGTCTCATGCCCACAGAATGTCCTACCTGCACGATGAAAGCCTTTGGAGGGGTGGTGGCATAAGGTGGGAAAAACCAGCTCCTCACACAAGTCCCGGATGTGGGATTGTCTGGCAGCTGACAAAACACGAGGAACTGGGCCCTATATTAAGAGTTTGTTGCATGTTTCATAAAAGGGATTTTTATCAAGGAAATCATCTATCACTATCCGAGTGGCTAATAGCCCGAAAGTATGACAGATTTAGCAATTAAGTGACCTACCGGCCTCCCTCAAACAATCATGTGAATTTCGCAAAGTAACCAAGAGGCACCATTTAGCAGACATCCCTTCCCCCAAGCCCCCAAAGACCCAAGTTCACCATCATTCTGTCCCTGTCTTTTCTGCTCCCGTTGTACAACTTGGAGATAAAGTAAAAGGAACCCCCTGCCCCTGGGGCCAGAGTGGAGACCTCGTTGAAGAGCAACCTGCTTCAAACAGTGACAGACCCAGCCGTCTGGTCATTCGTGAAGCACAGTGTGACGTAGCCCCAGGACCGTCTGTCTGGTTCAGACAATCCTGGCAGACTTGGTGGCTGGCATCCCCAGGGGTCAGCCTCAGTCCCCCCTCCCACCCCGATTCCCATGAAAAGTCCTTGTTCACAGGGGCTCTAGGACACAGTGGATGTGGACAGCACGTTCCCAGCATCATCACCACAAGCAAGTTTTAACTGAAGCTAATCACTCTACCAAATCCACAAAAAGGGTAAAGTTTGTGATTTTTCTGTATCATTGCGATTACCATCTGATCTGGTAGGGAGTGCACTTCTTTGGAAGTTCTGACTTCTCTGATCTGTCTCAGTCGTTTGTGTTATACAACCAAAGTTCTCTACAGACTTTATTTTTGTACAATATCATTTTGTAACTTTTTACAAATAAAAACTCATTTCTATTGCTCCCTGTCCTTCTGTCCTTTCTCCTGTGCCCGGGGACCACAGCTAGCCCAGGCGGCCATCCCAAGCATTTAGGATCAGTCGGGCCCGGACCCGAAGCCCGCCCCCGCCTTCACCACCACACAGCCCACAGTTCCATCAATGGCCTTGCCCATCCGTTGTCCACAACCGATCCCCACCCAAGGGAGAACAAACTTGAAACAATGTTCCTCACTTTTTCCACCCATACTTCCGGTGTGCCGACCCTCTGCCGGGTGCTATTCAAGGCACTCGTCATCCCAAAGTGTCCAAAACCAAAAAGCTTTGCCCTCGTGTAGTTGATATTTTATTTTAGTGGAGACAGACAGTATTCAAAAAAGTAAAAATATGTAGTGATCCAGGCAATAATAAATGCTATGAAGAATACAAAGAGGCTATTATAATAGGGGAGAAAATAGGGCCTGCTTTAATTAGAGGTGACACTGAGGCAGGATTGAAGAAACAGCACCAACAAATGAGCATCTTGGCTTCTGCCCTGAACCAGGCAAACACTTGGATGGAGCCACCGCTCTGCACGACTTTGGGGGACACCATTCATATTTTTCTGTATGACAGTCCTTGGAGTCGGCGCAAATGGTGGCCTTGAGCCGAGTGTATTCTGGTAGCAAGAAGAACACACCAAAGAGAGGAAATGCCAGTGCCCTGGGTTGGGAAGGAGAACATGCTTCCTCCTCAGATGACACACTCCCTGTGTTATGTCACAGGCAGCCTTGTGACTATGAAAAGGTAGCCCTGTGTGGTGTTTTAAACCCAAAACAAAACTCGGACACTCTGAAAACTCATTCCAAGTGTCTGCCAGCTGAGGTTTTCCAACAGACAGCCTTCAAAGCAGTGCCAGGCTTTGCCCAAAATGCCCTTTCCTTCCTGACGCTCCTGGCCCCCTGCACTGAGAGTCCACGGCGTCTGGGGGGACCCTCTGTAGGGCCTGCGATCGGAGTCCTTCTGCCAGGGCTGTGCTGGGGCCAGCCATGCTTTCTGTCAGCCAGATTCTGATACAAAGTTAGTGACTTGCAGAGGGAATGCAAAGATTGTAAACTCTTGGCTGCCTTCTGTTCCCTTTTTAGAGCCATTTCCCCAAAGTAGGCTCCCGGGGTTGCTAATGGGATGATATGCTCCTCAAAAACAAATGGAGAATGGGGTGGTTCTCTGATCAAATAAGTTTGGAAAACATTGAGTTAAATAACATCAAACAGCATTTTCAGGTTAAAAAAGAGAAGTGCAGAACTTATTAGAACCTTGATTAGATCAACAAGCATTGTGACAGTCTAGGAGGGTTGTGGTGTGCAGTGCTCCCCAGGTGGGTGGGGCCAAGGAACTGCCTGCTGCCTTGTTTTCTTGGCACGACACCTATGCACCATCCCTTGGAACTACTGCCTGATCCTATAAGCATCAGGATGAGCAGAGAGGGGGTTAGAGATCGGTAGAGCCGCAGAAACTGCTGGGCAGCTCCCATGGGAAGGACACCCTACCGCATACACACCCCTACACACACACACATATGCACACATGGGTACTGTGGTTTTCTGCTCAGCATGATTAACCAGCGGTCAGCTTTGGAAATTTCCTTTTTAAAGGGAGAATGTGAAAATGAATTTCTCCCACGTAAGGGAGAATGTGTTGAAAGCTGGGAAATTCCTAGCAATGAAAAAGAGAACTTTCACCATGCTTACTGAAAATCCTCACCAGGCTCGAATTATTCTGAATCACGAGTGTGGTCTTGGGCTGATTCCCCCGTGCAGTGCTCCTCCAAGGGAAAGCTGTTTCTGTGGAGCTTCAGGCTCCTATTCTTGCTGCCAAGAACTCTGGGAGAATAGGATAAGGAGTCCCCCCACCATGATCTGGTGGTTCCCAGGGGCTTGTGCCCATGAGTTCGGCCCAGGCCAGTTTTCTCCTCTGTGGCCAGTGCTGAGCAAGGCAAAGGTTTACAAGAACGTTTTAAAGAATCAATCTGCTCTTAAGGTAAAGGCACAAAATCAGAATTTCATGAACCTAAGTCTTAAAAACCAAAAGCACCACCGTGTTCACATGCACAGTCCTGCTTGGGTCATGACTGATTTGCGATCTGACCCCAGAACTGCGGGGGAGGAGGGAACCCAAAACCTCACACCGTCCACCTCAGAGCACAGTGGCAGGGAGGGGACGAAGGTGTCAGCCACGGGCTCTGGGGATTTTTTTCCATCAGGTTATGAAAGGTCTGAATCCGGAGTGTCTTCTTGGGAAGACACCTGGGTAACAAAACCGTTGCTGTGACCCCACGCAATAGTTAACTTCGGTCTCAT